TAAGTGTAAATAAGGAACCGTGAGGAACCTTGTAAGCTGATGGCCATGAGGCCAAAGAGTAGTCCCTTAGTGCTGCCTTCTGGGTGCTCAGCTAAATAGGACCAAACTTACTACAAAAATTACAACTCTCATATCAGTTAGGCAGCCCAAAATAATGATGATGTTAAATGCTGTTTAGAACTCCATTGGAGTCATCAGAGACAGTTCCCCATCCACTTCCTGGCACAGATCATCTATCCAAGTGGCCAAGGCTGTTTTGGTCCCCAAAAGAAACTTGAGCCCCTATAGGAACTACTCCAGTGAATCAATTTCATTTAAGAATGTTTGGAGATGTATGCCATCACTAGCTCTAGACTACTCAATTTTTATTGCATTTGTAATTGTTGTTGTTAAGTTTGACATGTGATTGAAAATACTGTATATCAGTTATTTTGTCGGTGATCTTGAGTTATAGCTTTTGTCTTGAACTATAATTTTTAACTGCTGGTATGCTATGCTCCTTGGTACAGAATTCCTCATTTTTTCCAAACAAGTTTTCAGCTCTGAGCTACACTCTGCAACAGATGGTTTTATGCAGTGGTTGTATGAGTAGAAGCCTACTTGCATAATTATTTTCCATTTCTCTTTTCCTCCCTGTAGCCTTTATAGCCATAGGCTTTCTACTGGATTTTGAACTTACCACCATTTAGGTCTGTGTTACATGGGCTTGCAACTGAGGGGGAGGGAGCTGCCTGGAATCAGGTGTAGAAACTTTGTGCAGCAAAGGTTCCTCTCTGCAAAAGCAAAATTATTTTTAAATAAAATTTTATATTCTTAGTTAGAAAAAATATGTATTAATATTAAATCAACATGTTAGTTCTCTATGGACTTTTGCCTTCTTGAGTATTTAAAGCTTGATATGTCAGATTGACAGACCACAAATGTCTTTGATTACAGGAGGTCACAGCTAGTAGTCGCCACTATGTTGACAGATTATTTGATCCTGATCCCCAGAAGGTCCTGCAGGGTGTCATGTAAGTAATATAAACTTCTGTATGCTTGTTATCATGCTGCTGATTCAATAATATTTTTCTAACTCTTTCCCATAGCTTGTTTTTTTTTTGCACCGCATATGCATAACAGCACATCACTTGTTTTATCCCCCACAAATATTGCTAGTTATTGATTATTATCATCTTCCTATATCAAATAAGGTTAGATATAAAACTTTTGAATTACTTAACTACATACATTTAGTAGTTTAAAAGTCTCTGGGTTACTTCTGAAATTATACCTTTCGGAAATCTCATTTGCCTACTTATGCTTATACTCAGCTCTGTTTGTGACACAAAATCCTAGGTGATTAAAGAAAAAGATTTTAAAAATTTTCATTAATTTTTTTTAGTAAAAGTTAAATTACAGTAAATTAATATCTTTAAAGTGAGTTGGCTAATTATCAAATAGGAATTTAATACTTTTGTTTAAAGGTAGACTTATTTTTTGAATCCTGAATCATAAGTATCACATAAACTGGCTACATTTGAATATAATCATAAACCATGGTTCTGTACAGAGGTGGATGATCTCAGTACTTCAAGAACCAAATTTTATATTTAATGGCATCTGGGAAGCCACACTCCCATGTGGGGTAAGGAGGAAGTGGTGTGTGTGCATGTGTGTGGTAAAATGGGCTGATTAGTGTGTTTTTTTTAATTTAAAGAAATACAGTGGTGCCTCGCACAGCGAGGTTAATCCGTTGCGGATTAACCCTCGCTGTGTGAAAACATCGCTGTACAGATCAAAAAAAGCCATTGGACCGCATTAAACTTAGCAGCTTTACTCACCATACAGCGATGTTTCTCCGATGGCCGGCAGCCATTTTTGCGCCCTCCCCTCACTTAACGAGGGCACGAAAACCCTGCGCGTGGCCATTTTGGGGCTTCTGGTGGCCATTTTGAAGCCGCCGAACAGCTGATCGGCGGGTCGCAAAGCGAAGGTCGGTAAGCGAACCGCTTACCGACCTTCGCTCTGCGATTTTGAGCCATAGGGGCCGTTGGTGTGCGATCGCTAGAACGGCCCCGTTGTGCGGATTCGTAGTTCTACGGTGCACTCGTTGTGCAAGGCACCACTGTAATTATTTTGTTAGCATTATTTGAAGTGGATGGTCTAAATTGCTTAACCTTTAATGCATTCTAACCCAAGATCCTTCAGAAAAACAATTTTTTTTAAAAAAAGCAGGGCAGTTCACTAACGAAAATGGCTTGCAGCTTCACAGGCCTTTTCCTAGGTTCAAAGTATCATTGTACAGTATTCCTTATTTATCTTATCTCATTTTGTAATTGAGCATTGTTTATGTCTTTGTTTCTTAAAATTGCAGTTGTCTGCCTTAATTGACTTAATTGTATATGACTTCCTTCCATGTTAATTGGAGTATATCAAGTGGCAAAAACTGCTTAATTGCTGAATAAGTTGAGATAAAATAACTTAAGCAATGAGGTGCCACTGTGAAGTTGGGAAAATGCCTGGAAGGCCACACTACCAGTTTTTAGTGGTTGAGTACATTGTTGATTTTCTGGGGCTTTAAAACAGTATTTAGAGAAAGTTTGGAGGGTCTGAAACCGATATTTAGAGGGAGTCATGTTGCCTGCCTCAGTTTAGAACAGGGGTGTCCAACCTTTCACCTTCCCTGGGCCACATTAGAAGATGAAAATTTGGTTTGGGCCGCGCATAAATTTGGTTTGGGCCACATGGGGGGGGCAGCCATGACCGTCCTAGAGGCTGCCAGCTTTGACATGCTTACCAGCAACTGCGATCTCAGACAGCAGAGGCTGCCAGCTTTGACTCCGGTGGCTCTATGGGGCTGGGAGGGGGTCTACCTATTGACAGGGATGGCGCAATGCAGTCACGCAACCCCCCTCCCCTCCTGCTCCTTCCTTCCCTCTCTCCCCACTACCGTTGTGATGTCCCTGGCCGCATTCCGGCCGCAAGTGCCAGCAGTGTAACTTGAAACTTTGGAATTTCTTTAAAAATAAAAAAATTGCACTGGGCCACATACAAGCCGACCTGGGCCGCATGTGGCTGGCGGGCTGTGGGTTGCACAAGCCTAGTTTAGAATTATGAAAATAAGTTTTAGGCCACAAGAAAGAGATTGGAAGCTTTTACTTCAGTTTTAGATTAACTCGAATCTTGCATGAATACACAGTGGAAGTGAAGAACAGATTTAAGGAATTAGACTTGGTGGACAGGGTGCCTGAAGAACTATGGATGGAGGTTTATAACATTGTATAGGAGGCAGCAACAAAAAACATCTCAAAGAAAAGGAAAGGCAAGAAAGCAAGGTGGCTGTCCAACCAGGCCTTACAAATAGCAGAGAAGAGAAGGGAAACAAAATGCAAGGGAGATAGGGAAACTTACAGAAAATGGAATGCAGACTTCCAAAGAATAGCAAGGAGAGACAAGAGGGCCTTCTTAAATGAACAATGCAACGAAACAGAGGAAAATAATAGAAAGGGAAAAAACAGACCTGTTCAAGAAAAATGGAGATATTAAAGGAACATTTTGTGCAAAGTTGGACATGATAAAGAACAAAAATGGTAGGGACCTAACAGAAGCAGAAGACATCAAGAAGAGGTGGCAAAATACACAGAGGAATTATACCAGAAAAATCTGGATGTCCCAGACAACCCAGATAGTGTGGTTGCTGAACTTGAGCCAGACACCCTGGAGAGTGAAGTCAAGTGGGCCTTAGAAAGCATGGCTACCAACAAGTTCAGTGGAGGTGATGGCATTGCAGTTGAACTATTTAAAATCTTAACAGCATCATCTTTTAAGGTGCTACACTCAATATGGAAGCAAGTTTGGAAAACTCATCAGTCGCCAGAGGATTGGAAAAGATCAGTCTACATCCCAATCCCAAAGAAGGGCAATGCCAAAGAATGCTCCAACTTCCGTACAATTGCACTCATTTCACACACTAGCAAGGTTATGCTGAAAAATCCTGCAAGGTAGGCTTCAGCAGTATGTGGACCGAGAACTCCCAGAAGTACAAGCTGGATTTTGAAGGGGCAGAGGAACTAGAGACCTAATTTCTAGCATGCACTGAATTATGGAGAAAGCCAGAGAGTTCCAGAAAATCATCTAATTCTGCTTCATTGACTATGCAAAAGCCTTTGACTATGTGGACCACAGCAGACTATGACAAGTCCTTAAAGAAATGGGAAGCCTATATGTGGGACAGGAAGCAACAGTTAGAACTGGATATGGAACAACTGATTGGTTCAAAATTGGGAAAGGGGTATGACAAGACTGTATATTGTCCACCTGCTTATTTTACTTATATACAGAATACATCATGCAAAAGCCAGGACTGAATGAATCCCAAGCCGGAATTAAGATTGCCGGAATAAATATCAACAACCTCAGATATGCAGCTGATACCACTCTGAGGGCAGAAAGTGAGGAGAACCTCATAATGAGGCTCAATATCAAAAAAACTAAGATTATGGCCACTGGTCCCATCACCTCCTGGCAAATCGAAGGGGAAGATATGGAGGCCGTGAAAGATTTTACCTTCTTGGGCTTCATGATCACTCCAGATGGTGACAGCTGCCACGAGACACCTACTTCTTGGGAGGAAAGCGATGACAAAACTAGACAGCATCTTAAAGAGCAGAGACATCACCTTGCCGACAAAGGTCCACATAGTCAAAGCTACTTTTTTCGGGTAGTGATATATGGAAGTGAGAGCTGGACCATAAAGAAGGCTGACCGCCGAAGAATTGATGCTTTTGAATTGTGGTGCTGGAAGAGACTCTTGAGAGTCCCCCTGGACTGCGAGGAGAATAAACCTATCCATTATGAAGGAAATCAACCCTGAGTGCTCACTGGAAGGACAGATCCTGAAGCTGAGGCTCTAATACTTTGGCCATCTCATGAGAAGAGAAGACTCCCTGGAAAATACCCTGATGTTGGGAAAGTGCGAAGGCAAGAAGAGACAGAGGTGACAAAGGATGAGATGGTTGGACAGTGTCATCAAAACAACCAATATGAATTTGACCCAACTGCGGGAGGGAGTGGAAGATAGAAGGGCCTGGCATGCTCTGGTCCATGGGGTCACGAAGAGTTGGACACAACTGAACAACAACAAATACGTATGTGTTTGCTATATAATCCCACTCCTATGTCTGATGAAGTGGAGTTTTCCAGGAAAGCTCACATAATAACTGTTTTTAAGGTGCCACCATGTTCTTGTCCTATTTTTCTCCCCCCTCCCATTTACCTGATACATCTTCCAGATAATACATACCTGTTAAAAAAGTAATCTTCTTTCGTACTATATGGAAGTTTTCCGTATCTATCTGGAATTGGCCACAATGATTGGCATACATCTAGCATTTCTTGTGACCAATTTGCAGCATTTTTAAAATCAAAAGTGGAGGCCATCTGCCAGGATCTTGCACGCTATTTTAAAACAGTGGGTCGAGCTGAGACATTCAGTGCAGCGCCTTGTCCATTGAGAATTACTTAGTTTCAACCTGTGATGTCTGCAGAGGTGGACAAGGTCCTTGATCGCTGCCGAGCCACCTCTTCCTCCCTTGATCATTGCCCGACCTGGCTAATCAAAGCTGCCAGGCCGGTGATAACTGAATGGGCTGCTGAAGTATTACATGCGCCTCTTCTTGGGGAAACGCTCATTAGGCCCATTACGAAGAAACCAAGCTTGACGGCGGGCAACAATGACAATGAGCCTCGTGGCGCAGTGGTTAAA